GGTCTTTTGCATTCTCTGCCCTAGGGCTCTTTGCCTTCCCAAACTACATTTCCCAGAGTTCTGTGTTTCTTTCCAAGTGAACTCTGCTTTCTCCCTGCTTTCTCACTTCTCATGAAAGAGGCCAATAATTTTAAGAGGAAAGGCAGCCTTTTTGGCTTTGTTTTGCTTCCTTGCACTGAAAACAAAACTAACTTTGTTTTGCAAATTTGCTAATGCAAATGAAAAATAATTGGGTAAGTTTTAATTCTGAAGTTTTTGGCATGGGCCATGCTCACGTAGTGGATATTGTCTCGTAAGTACAAATTCAACAAATTTGATAGGACTTATGAGGACTAATGAAAAATGAACACCTCTACTAGGAAGGAAAATTCACACTTTTAATTTAGATTTTAGCTATTCTTGTAAGCTGCTCCGAGCCCCAGGGGAGTGGCTGCATATAAGTTTAAATAATAAATAAATAAATAAATAAATAAGTTATCATGGGGAAAAGGTGTCTTCACTGAAGCTTTATCACTAATCCTTGTTTCCAAAATGTTCAAAGTCCAATTGTCACAGGGACAGGAAGTGAGGTTAAATCTTTTGAACAGGGACACAGACCGCAAAACAAACTTTACAGGGTTGTTAAACCTTCCCTATGCTATCAACAACTTTTAAAAAATAAGTATTGGTTGGAGTTATACTTAACAATTGTACCTGTTCTAACTAACATAGAAATTCAGCTTAAGAACAAACCTATAGAACCTTTCTTGTTCATAACCCACGGACTGCTTGTACATGATAAACATGCAGGTGAGAAAAAAAACATCTTTAGTTTTCCTCAGCAAATGAGAAAAAGTAGCCCTCAAGGAGGATGCATGGAACTCTCCAAGTTGAAAATCTACAAGATATTAGGGCTTCCACATGGTGTGCTTTATCACTGCTCTCTGCTGATGAGTTTTATTATTCATATTTTATTATTTTATTGCTTTTTAAAAAAAAGTTACTGTTTTAGAAGGTATTTCAACTTATTTTGCTGTTGATTTCTTTTGAACTTAGCTGCCCTGAAGATAGCCTGTTATTAAAAAAATCCTAAATTCAAGTAGTAATGGTAACAACAACAACAGCAACAACAACAACAACAAACACGTTTTGCCTATTCTCTCCAGAACAAGAAAATATATTTTTTATACTGCATGAGTTGCTTATCCCATTACTTGGAGGTGGGGATGGGGAGACTTGGGAACTGTTCTGAATTAAAATGAGGGTACACTGACCAGACAGGAAAAGTCTGATTGACGACTAATTAATATGTAATTTTGACCTAATTAATTTGCTGCTGTCCAGGTGTCCCACCAAGTGGAGTAGGCAGCTTAACTTACCTGCCCAGTTGTGCAATTTTGTCAAAATCTCCAAATCTACATCAACGAATTACATGCACATATACTTACAGATGTCCAAACAACACACTTTTCAAATCTATTTGTCTGAGGTTCTATTTTGTGATAGTGGTGTATATTATACCTTTACGGTTAAAAACATGAAACATCCCAAATTGGTGCTGCCAATCATGGAAAACAAAAAAAATAAAATTAAGCAGTTTTAGATATAAATAATTGTGAACAGAATAGTTTGTTCATGCAGCTTCAGTTCAAGAACGATGAAGCACAGATCTTAAAAGAGTAAAAAAAAAAACCCACAGAAAATGTGACTGAGATTATATGGCAGAGCACTCCACACTCTGAGGTCTTTGCAAGAAACGCATTACTTTTGTTCATGCAGTTCATTCATTTCTCTGAGCAAGGAGAGAAATGTTACACAGAGAGCTGGAAGGAACAAAAACACTGCCTGAAATTGGAGAGTCACTTGGTGTTTTTAGCTGGAAACGTTTAGATTGTTAAGTCAAGTGTTTAAATTACTGTAACAGATGCCTGCGGATCAGGTGTCTTCAGCGGGAACGATTTTCTGCTTGGGTTTTTATCAGTAAATGACAAGCACCTTCCCTTTGAGCCCTCATGCTCTCCCTTCTTCTGTTCCGTGGGAAAGAGTTCAAGCAAGCTAAAGAATCAACTAATGCAACAGCCTTTTAAAAAGGTGAAGTTTTCCATTTCAAAGAAGTTTCTAATCAATGACATGGCACAAAAGGAAATGCACGCATGTTTATATGTGCACTGCTCAGACCTTACAGAAGCTTTGGGGAAACGGGCTCTGCAAAAATCAATATGACCTCACTGGTTACAAATTTCATATCTGCTGCATGAAACAAATGGACATTTTAAACAAGTTAGGTCACAAAAGATTAGCTGTAGCATGACAGGAGCTTCCAATAAAATATTTTGAATAAAAAGCCAGCTCCTTCGAGGAGAAGCAGTGAAAAAAAATAGAAACAAAATGGCAGCTAGGCTTGTGCCAACAGAGCAATTTGAAGATTAGAGTCTAAATTCCCGAACTGCAGGTCACAATAAATTATTCATCAAAAATAAACCATTTTTATTTGGCCTTGTGATTAAGAGTTGGATGCCTCTCTCCGCTGCACTTCATCAGAGTCTTCATCAGGCAAAGAAGACACTGACGTTCTGCTCCAATCAATGACCTCAGCTGGAAACCTTCCCAAGGGCAAATAAATGTATGGCAGGAAGAGATTTAAGCCCCAAAACTTGGAGTGGATCCGCAGCCCAGGATTTAATGCTATATGAAAAATTCCCCACCCCTCCTTTAGTCCTGCTCTGTTAGCTCTGACATGATTTAGGTACATCTCAGCTAACCCCAACTGGCAATATATTTTTGGGCCTCCTGCAAAGATATTTTCATTTTGTAGGATGTGAGAAGGAAACTACACCTTTGGCTGACGGGTGAGAAGAGATGAGTCATGGTGTGCTTTTTAAACTGAACCTACTGCATTGAACAAGTAAGCACTCAGTTTCTCTGAAACACAATCAAGGCAGATTCCATGGAGCAGGCGAGGAAAGGATTGTTCTACATACCATGAAACATCAAAGTACATCTATAAAAAAAATCTGACGCCACTATTTCTTCTTGACATAAAAAAACCTTATGTTGTCTCCATTCTCCAAAATTCAGCACAAAATAAATCTTGAACTGGACACTTTGCAGATAACAACATTGTGAAACTAAATCCAACAGTTACAAATGATATACAAAGTGCGTTGAACGTCTCCCTTAAATACCTTATTGTGGAGGTTACACCAATGCTCACTATGCTTCAACTGCTGATAAATATCTTGTGGAAAATAGAAAAGGGAGTTTGCTCCAAGAAAAGAATATATGTCTAGGCCATTCAACCTATCTTAGGTAATGGGCATATTGAAACCTGATATTCATTAGACGATTGCCCTATTAGGTGTGTGTGAACAAGCTACCTGACAGTATTGTGTGTAAATGATACTCTCTTCAACCATGGCAACAAACACATATTCAAACTAGTGCCTTACTTCCAAGAACATGGAAAGTAGGCAATATTTAGCAGTCTTTCTCTCTCTTTCTCATCTTCTAAAAATTGTGGTATGAATAGAAAGATCAGAAGTACATACTTATATATGTTAGTTCACACAATCTCACTTCTCACTGTAAAATTAAACTCTGCTTCTCTAAGATCATGCCTAAATTGCAGTGAGAAAGGATCCTGAGACATTTTGAGAAGGGCAGGACAGAAATACAGCAATTTGCAGCAGACCAACGCCAATCTGCTTTATTTCTATAGGAAAGGAGAATGAAGGGGTTATATCCAAAAGCACAGAAATTTATCAACGCTATGAAAAGTGTGGGAAAAATGCTGTTTGTAAAGCTTATCCTTCAGAGACCAAATTCTAGTCAGATATTTATAAATAATGTTTCCTGTATCCAAACTCTTTTTTGAGACCACTAGCAAGATCTTCTGATAACCGATGTTTTTAGAACACTGAGTTATTTCTTTTAACAAAGTTCTTATATTTCTCTTTTTCATTTACTGTCCCCACAGGAAATAGTTCCCCCCCTCCCCCCTCTTTCTTTCTTTCTCTGTCTCTCCCCCCACCCCCCCACACACACATATGCAAAAAGCCCTGGCTGAAATAATAAGAATAACAACAATGACTTGATTCTTGTATCCCGCCACCATCTCCCCAAATTGACTTGGGGAGGCTTACACATGGCACAAGGTGCCTAAAATCAGAACATAAAATTAAATCAGTTCAAAGACACAATTAAATAAAACAAATGGACATATAAAACAGCAACTAACACTAAATTAAAACAGCATTCATCAACCAATGGCGGTTAGCTGCTATAAATGTGGCCAGATAGTAAACAACCGAACTGGGAATGGGATAAGTGCAAAGCTGTAGCCATGGGAAGAGGGTATGGGATAAAGTACAAGGCTGCATAACAAGTGAGTATATAACTAGGGACTATACATTCTCAAAAGCTTGTTTGAACTGCCTGGTCTTCAGGTCCCAGTGTGGGGGCTTGCTTAATCTTCCCGGGGAGGACGTTCCAGAGCGGGGGGGGGGCACCACTGAGAAGGCCCTCTCCCTCGTCCCCACCAACCCCACTTGTGACGGTGGCAGGAATGTGAGGAGGGCCTCCTCGGCAGAGCCCATACAGGTTCATGGGAGGGGGTGCGAACACAAAGATAGGTAGGACCCGTACCATTAAGAACACACAAGCAAATTTCACCCTTCTTTTATCAGTGTTTAATGCAGGCCCGTAGCCAGGATTTGTTTTCAGGGGGGGTTTTTCGGGGGGGGGCTGAGTTTTGGGAGGGGGGGCTGAGTCTGAGTGAAAGAAGGTCTAGCCTAGCAAACCTTTTGTATCATTACCCCAATACCCCCATGCATATAGGATATATTGAGTATGGTGATCAGATCATGATATGAATAAACATAACAGTTTAAATAATGCACCAGTAAGGCCTTTTGCGAACCACCATGAGAATTTCGGGGGGGGGGGGGTGAAGCCCCCCAAGGGCCCCCCCCCCTGGCTACATGCCTGGTTTAATGTTATACCATTTATCTCCCAACACACACCTCGATCCTGGGGCATTGGTGACTGGCTCAAAGCAGGATGGGATCCAGATTCCGACTGGCTACCAGGAGTCTGGGATGGCATCTGGCTACCTGCAACACATGTAGATAAAGAAAATAAATAACTTGCTCCTAGTGAAGCAAAACATGCTGTAAGAAAACATAACTGTAAATGTTTTACTTGGTTATAAATGCAGTGGGGAATGCTCCTGGGAATGCACGCACAAGATTTCTCTGTAAATGATCCCAACTGCAGTATGTCCTTCCCAGAGATAATGCAATAGATTTATTCTTTCCACAGTCATTTCTTTATATAGTTATTTATTGCTTGGAGCCCAAGGAAAAAGAATGCATAAACACATTTAACAGGCATGCTGATATGTTCAATTTTGTACTGAGCCTTATCCCAACATTACTGATATGATCCAATTTGCAGCTGCAAAGCTCCTGACACATATTTTTGAGGGAGTTCAACAAAATCCAAGTCTTGTTAAACAGTGGGACTCATTCTGTTGTATTTTAACTGGCCTCCGACCAGGAATGGGTAGTTGCCAACAAGAGAACCAAAGATAAATTTCATTTGCATTGTTTGAAACAAAGCAATCTACCACTGAATCAATGGACTGGATGTTATCTCCGAGTCAAATTTAACAGAGCAGTAAAACCAATATGTATATAAAGCCTGTGGCATGCACTGTGTCATCCAAAGAAGAGCTTAAGTTGTAACTTACACTATACAAAACTAGCACATAAACTGACAGAGCAAAAACAAAATTCCAAGTAACATTTAACCAAAGGATTATGCGACTTCACAAATGGCATCACAAGCTGATTTACATCTTGACCTGAATATCTACATAGCTACGGGCAATGAGGCAGACAGAACTGCTTGCATCAACAGTAGCTATATCACTATCTATATGAGGTCAAATTACACATGACACCAGATGCCTCTTTGAATTCTGTGATTCAGACTCTTTTTCGATCCCTTGCTTACTAACAGTTGCCCCAAAGGGTGGGGGATCTGGAAACAGGGACAGGATTTATTATCCTTTTCACTTGTATTGTTTTTTTCAGTGAGAAACACTTCCAACAAGGTTCCTATAAAAGTTGGGAATTTCTTTCCCTCATTTTCTGCATGACATAAACTGCACACTTTCTGATACTATCCAAGAGGTTGAGAAAATGCAGTTTTGCAGCAAAAATCTATGCTCAAGATATTTTCACTACACACAGAAAACTATGCAGCCTTTTTGAGAAAAAATACACTCGTTTTTTTTTTCATCATACACTTGGCAAAAGTGTACAGAATGCAACACTGAATCACAAGTTATACCCCCACCTTTTGAACATTGCGGGTAACAGTTTGACATTATGGCTGAAGACATTGCTAGTTTAAATACTGTACAACCTAAATGTTAAGCAACAGGAGAGTAAACTTGGGCTGACCAAAGCTGTAGTAACACATTTTGGGCATCTGCAGGAAAAGCTGCATGGTTTTCTAAGCAAGCTGCACATATTTCACGGAAAATTTGAGCAATTTCACAGCAATGCATGAGGGAAACATCCCCAGTGTTCTGTAACCATGAGACAAAATATTGTTACATTGTTTGCAACATCTGTTGGGGCTTGAAAAAATAGAGATTTATCATTCCTACTCCCAACATAACCTTGCTGCACCAGAATTTTACATGTCCTGGTTATGCTCATCCAGATAATGTTATTGTGTGGTGCAGTATCTTGGGTCTTTCAGTGCTGGATAGTTTTCTTCAGCTCCTCAGCAAAAAAGCTTTTTTTATTCAAAGAATGCACTATTCAAATTGGGAAGAAAATCTCTACTGCTGCCAGCTCCAGAACAAGAATTTTACTAAGATCACAGCTGGGAAGGAAAGAGCAAATGTCTCTCCTCCATTGCCTGATATCAGACCCCTAAGAGATGCTGGTTGCATTTGCAATGGGAAGACACACTTAGTATCACACTTAGTATGGCTGCCACTCGTGGGTAAGCTGAAAGCAAAATGAAATCATTGCCATCCCAAATAATGATTCTGCCCTCCCCAATGGAATTTCTTCCATTCCCACAAATCTCAGCACCGCAGTAAATTATGGTTGAGCATTCAGAAATGCAGTTTAGGCATCCAAGAAAAAGTGGCATAAACAGTTCTCAACTGAATGTAAACAGGACAAATATAGGTGATCTTGTTGTAAATGACTTTCAGCATCTCTGACACACACACACACACACACACACACACACATCTATTGATCCATCAACACATGGCACATGAAACACTTAGGTACCAAACAGAAAATTATCCTCTTCTGTTTGGTACATAAATCAAGACAGTAATTCCCAAACTATAATCCTTCAGGTGCTTTCCCTTCAAATCCCAGAAACTCCAGCTGCCTTGGCCAATAATCAGGAATTCTGGGAACAGATTCCAGAACACCTGGAAGACTAGAGTTTGGGAAACATTATTCGATGATGTACCATGAGAAGACTTTATCAACTTGTATCAAACTGGTTAACTTGTAGTACTTACACTGTGTAGTGCTTAGAGCAGAGCCCTTTTTGAAACAAAAGTTTCTTGTGGAGCCCCAAGAAATGTTTATATATTATATTATATATAATGTATATATATAAAGCACAGGCAAAAGAAGCACAAAACACCTCTGGTAGATGGCAATCCAGCCTCTGTAGTAATAGTAGTAGTAATAATAATGATAGGAGCAACCCCAGGGGTCATCCAGTCCACCCCCCTTCTGCCATGCAGGAAAAACACAATCAAAGCACTCCCTGAGAGGTGGGAAGAAAATAGGGTTTTGGAAACAAAGATGGTATGTTTGTGGGGGTGTGTTTGGGTGGTGAGAAAAAGACTCAGGGAGACAGGGAAGAAAAGATATGCACCCCGGGAGGGCGCTGCTGCTGTTTCAGCAGATCCAAACTTTAATTTCCCTGCATTTCTCAGGAGGAAGGGGAAGAGGAAAGAGGAGGAGGAAGCAGCATGGCACTGTGGAGCCCCTCACTTTCACCTGTAAAGCCCAAAGGGTTCCACGGAGCACAGTTTGAGAATCCCTGGCTTAGATTATTCACTTGGGAAATATATTTTTAAATGATAAATGTATATATTGTATTACCTTATTATTGTTCTATTTTAACATTGTGTGTTCTCTCTGCACAAAACAGACATGAGATGGCTTACTACACAAACAAAAATACATACTGCAATACACAAATTAGAATCAAATAGAGAAACATTCTAACACAACACAATAAAACTATGGAGTCGGGACAAGGGTGGAGTGGGAAAAGCACTACAATTTTAATGACTTCTTAAAAACTGGTAATGCAGGGGGAAGGGGTAAGGTGTAAATGCCTGGAAAGGCCATTCAAGGCTCTGCTTTCTACAGTGGAACAAGGCTTCTCCCTTGTTTTCATCAGCCGAATATCCATCAGTACAAGAACAATGATAGGACTTTTGTATCTACTAGTTTCTTCCAAAGCACATATACTGAAAGGCATTCCCACTGCAAATGAATTTTTAATATGTGGAGATAAAGCAGGGATTAAATATAGGAGGAAGAAAACAAAAACAAATAATATTGCTAACGGAAATGAATTGTCAGCAGTAACAGCCTTTGACATTATATACTACACTTCATTTGGAGTGCTTCCACAGTGTTATGGTAGGAATAACCCCACAAACAGGATAATATATTTTTAGTTTCTATTACTACTACTAATAGAAATGCACAGTAGTCATCTCTAGTAGCAGTATCATTTGCAATTACCAGCATGGTATGCAATGACCCACTAAGTGTGCATTTTTAAACAGGGCAATCCACAAAAGTTGGAAACACTAGTGTATGCATTCGACATTTTGCATTGCCAATGGTTTTTTTTTGCAGTTGCATCTAGAAACTCAAGTTTTAAAAAGAAACTACAGAACCAGAGATGCTTGTGAATGCAAGAAATACCTCAAGAAGATATAGATACTGATAGTTAGCAGGCAGTTGGCTTTTGCAGGCTTATTTTAACATGGAAATTTATTCATCTCAAGAGCTGAAGACAGCCAACAATACAGCAACACTAAAAAATGCTGAGAGGGACTGAATCTAAATACCAGCAGAAGCATAAACATCTGCGCTTACAACCTGAAGTCTGAACTTAAGTATCCTTTGGAATCATTTATTTGGTTTTTGTTTAGACTTGCATTTTGAGGAGTGGGAATAACATAACATTACAGAGAAAAACCATGGGAGATATTTTTCAAGTTCTGTTTATATAAATTAATGCCTCTATTTTACAAGAGGTAGTTCACCAGAACCACCACAATGTCTCTCCAACTACTACAAAGATAATCCCATGAAGCCTAACTCTGCCAAGACACAAGTGTGTGCTTTCTACCTATGTAATTGTGAAGCCAACAGGAAATTGAAAGTTACCTGGGAAGGCCAAGATCTTGAACACTGTTCCTACTCTAAATATCTTGGCAGCACCTTAGATCGAACACTAACATTTTGTGCTTGGTGTTTACTGTGCGAACACAAAGTAGCTGCACGCAATAACATCTTGTGGAAACTTACTGATAGCACATGGGGTGCAGATCCAAAAATAATATGAATATCAGCCCATAAGACATAAGGTCGAATACTGTGAAAGCCACCCACTGTATGGCTATCAGGCTCCTCCTAGTAGACTTAAACCAAGGAAAAGTTTTACGAGAACCACCACTCCTCTTAATGTTCGATCAGCAACAGCAAAAATATCCCTGTGGGCAAAAAAAAATCAGGCAATTCCAACTGGATGGCCCTCCTAAAGAGTCAAATGAAGAATGGGCAAGTTGGAAGTCCCTGAACAGACTCAGAAATGGAGTGGGCAGATCAAAAGACAACCTGGCAAAATGGCACTACCTAGAAGAATCCTCCACCTTGTGTGACTGAGGAGCAAAACAAACAACTCAGCACCTGTATGCTTGCTCACAATGCTCTGTCTCATGCACAGAGGAAGAACTGTTTAAAGCTACAGACAACGCGGTTGCTCTTGCCTGTTTTTGGTTTTAAATTATTTAGCTGCTTGTGCTTTCCTTATT